TATTTCTTTTTCTGTTAGTGATCGTGCAACTATGGCGAAATGCCGACGGAGAACGTAATTATGTATTACTCGTATTATGATTGGTTCATAACCATACGTTCATACTAGCAAGTATGCAGTTGTCTTAAGAAAAAGGCAGAACCGTTTGTCAGACTAACTAGTATTTAAAAGTATGTAATAGGAAACGTATTAACTTATAACACATATCCGTTCATGGCAACATGAATAGTTTGTCGGGTGATTCGGTGAAAACTTTAAGTGTCGCTTACTTTGACCATCACATGGAGTACCTACTTTTTAATAGTAGTAAATTTAAAAAAAAATAAAACCGTTTAACTTGAAACCTATTAATGTTAATTCACCATAAAATCGATAAATTGTAAGCTTAAAAAGGACTCCTTAAAAACATACGTCATCGAACGGTCTACGTATTCACCACAAGTTTTCCTCCATAGAAACAAGTGTATTCGTTACTATTAAATCATAACATTAGTCTCAGCACATCGTCAGGCTGATTTTGTAGCAAAGTTCACGTGTAGAGAGGTTTTTACACGTGTACTGTGTCCCGCACCAACACTGTGAAACACACGTCCTCAAAATGTCAATCATCATCATTATTAAAATTACAGCACCATTTTTCCATACAGAGGGACGTCGACGGCGAATGTTGGCATCGAAAAATACTACCCGTTTCTGTATTACACGCGACACTCACTGACTGATATAACCTGCGCTATGTAAATTATACCTTAGCTTCGAAACGCCGTGACGCTGCATATGTTCGACAGAGTCTGATAAAATTAATAAGTACCGAGCTAATAGCTTGAACGTTTTTGAATAAGCGCACAGTTTTATTTTTTAATACAAAAACCCAAGTAAGGAGTAATGGCGAGTACTAAACTAGTGTATAATATAGTGTAGTGTCACGTCTTGTTGTTTCGGACATTGTTTAAAAATGCGGACCAAAGAAAAATAAATACACTCATTTAGTTATTAGGCTTTTGTCTTCAAATTCTTCTTAATTTCCTACTAATAGCAGACTCCATAATGATATTTCTTTACGAGTAGAATGCATAATAAATTACTATTGACAAAGTTGTTCTGTTAATTAAAGGCAAACATCCGGACACTGGGCCAACAGCGTTCACAACATAACCCAACATGTTCCCCGCAACAGCAATGGATACGAACTGCACCATCAATAAACCATTTCGCTTATGAAGCCGACAATAAATGCCAGGAAGCGGCACTCCATCACGATGATCTGTAAAGCTCCTGTAGGGTTCTCGTTCCCATAGCGGGGGTCTGGCCGGATACACGCCGTTTATCTCGACCTAGGGCCTGTTTGTGGGACGCGAGTACTTTTTTAAGATAAACAAATACCATGCCCCAACTTCATGGAATTGCAAGCGACGACTTACATTAAAAATTATAACTTTATGCGCTCCCGTGATGTTTTCGAAACTTATCTTCTAAAAATATCCACCGTGTATTTTTACAATTAACGTATTTGCAACCCTAAGGGTGTTGAAAATGTCCATAGCCGGCGTTTATCGCCTTACATTAGAGAATACGAACCGCTTGCCATCTTCTGACGTAGATAAAATAAAAATTTTGCCCTTATTGTTTAGCGAAGTGTGTTACGAATGATATGCCATGTATTGGCGTGCGGCCCTCTTCGCTTTCCATGGCGATAAGCGATAGAGATTGCCGCACCTAATCTCGATCGCTATCGGTCATTGGTCCGTCGCGATCTACCAGCAGCCGCGGACACGATCGCCCGAACTTCTCTCGGCTCTCCTCTCCCGGAAGTGGCGTCGCGAATATCAATCGACGCGTCTCGTATGCATTCCGCTCGCCTCCGCGACGGGAATAGATTTCAAACAAAATTTAAAAAACGGCCGGTACTCACGATGCGAATTGATAGTAGGGAACGCGCGGAAGGTATAAGTAAATACCTATGAATGTCCCACTGCTGGGCAAAGGCTTCCCTGTGCGCAGGGTATTAGGTCGCAGTCCACCAAGCGACTGCGGATTATTATTATTCCGAAACATTGCAGGTTTTCTCACGAATTTTTCCTTCATCGTTGAGTACGTGATTAATCGGCACTTCAAATAAACAATTTCATTGGTACCGCCACCGGGGATTGAACTCAGGTCGATCGAGTATATTGAATTAAAGCGAGCGCCCGGAGCATGAGCTAGCACGGAAGCTTACTTATAATATGTCTGTTGACTGAAAGCAAATGGTTTAAATAAGTTTATCGTTAATATAAACATTACCGAATCAATAACTTGTCTACATGGATGACATTCTAAAAGTTACAAAGTGCTCCCGTTCTTCCTATTATGTTTTCGATCCTAATGAGAGACAAAAACACAGTAATCTGCTGGAGGCTATGTAGATTACTTTCATTTTTTAATTTTATATTAACTAACCCGTTACAAATGTTTCCTATGCACAAGGGAACTATTTTTCTATGTATATAGGTATATATTTTCACATTGGAGTCAAAAGTTGTTTTCAGCCAACTATTGTCAGTATCAAAATATATTCAGTTGGGCTAGAATTCCAACATCTTTTTCATATATCGCGATGTGTATTTAGTGTCGAAGCGCATATCCAGACTATAGACCGATCCGTGAACACGCGAAGGGGACAAGGAAACAAATGACGCAACACACGAAAAGGTGCGCGCGCGACACTAACAAGGAAATGGGCACTTAAGCGCCAACCGCCGCACCAAACGACCGCCGCTACGTGAGACAAACAAGTGCCCCAGATTTAAAGAGCTACGTCCTCCGCCTTAGCCTTAAGTGCTCTATTGAGCTCACCAAAGCATCAGGTTTCGAATAATCATTACGTCATAGTTTACAAAAAATGTTGTGTAGTGAAAATGTAACTGTGGTAGGGCCAAGCAACAGTGTTCGCTGTCGCACGAATGGGCAGGTCCGTCCGGGTAAGTACCACGACCTCATAGAAGACCGGTGTGAAGTAGAAGTGTTACATTTCTGCGTTTGGTCTGGTGAGTCTGACCATGAGACGCATCTGCATCGCTGCAAATATGGTGGGTGGTAACCATGGGTGATGGTTATCACTTAACATCAGGGCTGAAATTGGACACTACCATGTAACAACCAAGATGAGAGAATTTGCTTCAGCTGCATATTCGAGAGTTGTCTTCGATATCCGTTTTCATATCATATCATACTGATCGAAAATTATCACGGTCAGAGTAAATCTGGTGAGCACCCGCTCACCAGATGGACCATAAACCAAACCTAATTTATATGAAGCACGGGAACACAATCCCTGTACGATTTCATGGACGATTGTAAACTATCAGGTGAAATCTACTCCTCGAAAATCGAGTGAGAAAAGTTTCTTACGTACATATGTACGCGCATTCCGAGCAATTAAAGTCGACCGAATAAGTGAGACGTGGGGAATTGACAGCGCAACGGACGCAATTCGAATCTGTGGCGAAGCGGCGTGTATCTACGGTGTCCCCAGCTTTGCCATCCCATTTTGGCCTTTATCACAAAACACGAGGGTCCAAAACGGATTCGGGTTAAATAGGGCAAGGTACAAAGGAGGAATCGATGAAAATCGCCTCTATTACGTTGTGATAGAGGTGGAAATCGTCTGGTGCGTTTGAAAATTAGAGTATTACGGCTGCGGCAATTTGCCTATTGCCGTGCTCAATTATCGCCCCCCGCACTCATTACTGAATTAAGCCGAGAGCGACGGCGTATTTGGTGACGCCTCTGCAGCTCTGACGAATCGGGAGCATGTATTGCGTGATCGCTTGTTACCTTTCCTCTTTAAACCCAAATAAACGTAGCGTTTCAATGTTTTAAGGGATCTTGAATGACCTAGACCGACGAAGAAATTGCAAGTCGCTTTTAATATATTATTAACACTTTATGAATTTTTTATGCGATATGCCCAATGTTGGCGTTGGTTACAAGACTTCGAAGGACTACAGTGGCTCATGAACGTCCAAAACAGCCGTGGAGTTGGTTAAAGAGGATGCACGGGCTCATTCAGGCAACAGCAGAAGTCGCTACGTGGATCTTCAAAGCCAAAACCATTAATAGCAATCTAATTGCGTTCTTGATTCTGCAATTCGTAGCCATCTAAAGAAATTGAGCTCCAACGCGCTTATATAATAAGACAGTTTCTCGAGTCAACTGGGCATCATCATCATCATTTCGACCTGTTTGAGTCCACAGACGAACTTAGGCCACCTACACAGACCGTCACGGATCATGATCCATCCATCGACTTCCCGCACATTTGCACAAGTTCTCACTTCATCTAGTGAAAGGTTATAACCGTGGTAGGGCCACGCGCACAGTGGTCGCTGTTGCAAGAATAGCAGGTCTGTCCGTTTTAGTGCCACGACCTCATAGAAGACCGGCGTGAAGTAGAAGTGTCACATTTCTGCGTTCCGTCTCGTGAGTGAGGTAGCCAAGGCCCACTTTACTAAAAGGTGGCAACGCTAATACAACCCTACCGGTTTTGCAAATGTCCATGGGCGGCCGTTATAACTTAACATCAGGTGAACGGCCAGCTCGTTTGCCACTTTGTCACATTAAAAAAGAGGTCGTTCTACACTACTTGAAGGTAGTAGTTTTTTGACAATCAATAATGTGTTATGTTTCTATCCTTACTAATCCTTACTAATATTATAAAGGCGAAAGTTTGTATGTATAGATGGATGTTTGTTACTCTTTCACGCATATACTACTGAATGGATTTTAATGAAACTTTACAATAATATACCTTATACATAAGAATAAGACATGGGCTATAATTTATAAAGATATTGTGTGAATTGTCCAAAATATAGGCAAATATAGGCTAAGCCGCGTTTAACAGCTACTATTGAATAAAGATTTGAATTAGAACGAGGCTCGACAACCTTTCTTCCCCATCAACTGGGCATAGATACAGAAAAATTACTGTTCCCACAGCTTCATCGGCTGTCGTGTCACTGCGTCGGTGTGACAACATCCGTAGCTCCCGGTAACAACAGATTATAAACGATCGTCTCGGAGGCGCGCAACCAGTAGAGCGTCGGAACCCCGCCGGATGGAATTAACGGCCACAATACGAATCGGAACTTCGCTCGACGAAGGGAACAGAACGCAATGAGTTCTAAAATTATTAATAGCGGAGTAAACTGACGAGATCACGTGACATTTCTCTGTTTATTACGCAGGGGATTAAGGAAAGACGATTATAGAGGTAATTTGGGTGTTCTTGTCGGCATTCAAGAATTAATTGGATCGTATTCGTGGAGGGATTTGACGATGTGCGCCGAAGCGGGAAAATTCCCCCGCCTACTCGTTTCCTGAGCTGTAACAGCATAGTTTAACAACACTACTCTATAAAAACGTACCAAGTTCAATTAAATTGGGAAATGTGAATGTAGATGTTGCTTATTAAATACTTGGGCTCCGTTCGGAATAAACGTGCCTTCCTAACATACTACTAAGGTACCGCAATGAACCTTAAACGACAACTGAGCAATCTTAAGAACTTTCAAATCTGTAGCTCAACGAAAAACTAAAATTTTATATATTGATTTCTTGTTTTGACGGGGAATATTTACATCGTTAACATAAAAACCTGATTAAACGCGATAAAATCCGTAAAATAATCCGTTTAATTTAACAATTTTTATTAACAAAAAACCGACTTGAAATGTCTCGTTCACTACAAATTTGATTTTGAGAAATTCCCTAATGCATCTCCGGAGTCGAAGTTCCAATACCAATGTGACTACCGAACTGGAACGCAAAGCGAATTTTTAAAATCAGAGCACTGGCTGGTGACGAACAACCACAAAAAAAAAGAACCCCATCATTTGAAGTCCGTCGAGAGCGCACTTGAGAGAGAGAGATGAAAGATCGACTCACCGGGCATGAAGTGGAGCAGCGCCGCGGTGATCGGGTAGAGGCTGGGGCTGTACGTGATGTCGGGGCAGGCGTAGCCGAGGACGGAGACGACGCGGTCGGCCACCGCGCGCCCCTTGCGCGTCAGGTGGTAGCCGAAGCAGTGGGTCGCCTCCACGAACGGCGGCAGCATGATCGGCTTGTCCGGCAGCTCAACGGTGCCGAACACCTGCGAGTGGACGCGTCATCAGTCGGGAGTAATTGTCAATAATTTGAAATACTCATTAACAATTTCCTCGGTGCCGCCACCAGGATTTGAGCTCATGTTGCTCGAGTATAACAGATTATGTGCAAGATTCTAAACACCACGATGGTCTGTGACACCGCTAATACAAAATCATCGCAGACCGCATCAACCGTAATCGCATTTCTTCTTGCTATTATCTTTTCAACTCTTCCTCTTGCTATCATTATATCTTTTAATCCACCTAGATGGGTACGACACTGCATGTGAATCCTTGGGAACAAGTACACAAATCCAGAACAATGATCACACAAATACTTGTCCCGTGTGGGAATCGAACCCGCGACCGCCGGCGCCGAAGGCAATAGCTTAGCGATTGCGCCACTGTTTATAGTATTAGAGTGTATACGCGTGCTTCATTAAATTTACACTAGTCTATTTATATCCAGGTACGAATCGCGCAATCTCATCGCACCTAATGAGGGTTCCTTATAAAATCATGTAGGTATTGTGTTGAGCGCGAGTGAATTGATTGAACAAACACGTCGCCGAGCCAGTTGTCCACCTGCGGGCGAATTCTGAACGCGCCTCGTGATTATCCACTTTGCGGACGAGGTCACATCGCCCCGGCCATAACAGACTCCTACCGGCGGCTAGAGCAGCGCTCACACAAATTGCTTTAGATCCAACGACGGTAAATATCGGCTAAAACAGGACATATCACAAAAGCATGTCAGAGGACAGGACGTGTAACGAAAACATCATCGTCGCCATCAAAATTTCAAAGTGTTTGAGTCCACACATTGAAGCTGAACATAAGCCACAGACTGCCACGAAGCACGATCCTAAATAGCATTAAATGTTGCAAAGGATTCTCGCACATCTCAATTAAACGGACTTATATCAGTTTCGGGAAATACCTCAAAGGAAGCGCAGTATACCCATCGTACACGTATGATTCGTTGCATACATTAGATAAAGCTGAAGGTATGTAGGATCTTGTAAAACCGTAGAAGTTGCCGCAACCCATCTATATATATTTCTATTTCTTCTTTCTATATATACAGATATTTGGTCACCCAACATAATTTGGTGTGTTTGATAAGGCCACCTGTGGGTATTGAAATAATAAAAGTTTCCTCCGAGACCGGCAAGGCATGTGAAATATTATCATGAAATACTATTAAATTTGTAGAAAATACCATACTATCAAAGTTATGGAATCGTATCAGTCCGGAAAATATCATCATTATTATTTACTGGCTTTGTGTATTATTAATATAATTTTAACCAATTAGCAAAGTAACAAATCTTCAGTAAGATAAAAAAGTAAAGGATTATTTTTATTATTAGTCTGTACAGACTTAGCACGTGATCATTCACATATAATAAGTAAGATATAAATACAATAATATTATTTATATATTATTCCAAGGATGTTGAAAGAAATAGTGTAGGACAGAAAAGTTTTTTGTATTTTGTAAGATTTTCCATTTTCCATCTGCAAAACCATGATATGGCATAAACAGATATGTAGAACCTTGTCCATTGTAGTATGGCAAACTAAGAAGTAGGTACTTAGCGAGCTGAGGTATTTATAAAATACTGTCATTAACAAATATTGACCAGAGCCGCTCGTGATGTTTTCGTCAACGATAAGGAAAAATCATTGGATTGTAAAATCTATTTGCAAAACACTGCAAATATCCTTTGGGAATTAACGCCCGACGCTCGGAAAAATGCATATTTATAAACAGAAAGATAAAGTTAAAGGAAATAAAATTAGAACAGTGCAATACAATAGCAGACGGGAGAAAATAATGTTCAATAGAATTCCATAGATGATTTCGGCATAAATACATCCATTTCTAGAGTTCCGTACCCAAAAGGTAAAACGGGGCACCGATACAACAGACAATATTTTTTGCCGTTTTTATAGAACCCTTCGTGCGTTTGGCCGACTCGCACTTGGCCGGTTTTCAGCCTTATAATCGAACTGCGGCGTGGAGCTTTCTAATATAAGTAGACGAGACAATGTCACGAAAGGCGAACGAGCATCTGGCATAGTTCAGCGACTAAATATAACAGGTAAGGAAGGGCATCGAAAATGCGAGCCTTTATGCTGTCTCCGCAAATCGGCAATCTTGTACCGCGGTGCGTTGACCGAGCCCGTTGTTTTCGCGGCAGACGACTAACGCGCCCAATAAATGTTTGTCACGGTGACAGAACACCGGCCGGTTGGTACCAAAGAGGGGCCGGTGCCAGGTCGGCTATATTTAGATGTCAACAGAGCTGGCGCGCATTCGCGAACCTGTCCGATCGCGAGAACGGAGCCCGGGCCGATTTTAAAATTCGAACCAATTTAAAAATGGAACGACGCTAGGAAAACAAACAATAGCGACGTCGACGAAAAGTTGGAAGGCGTTTGCCGATTTCAAAAATGGAACGAACGTTTCGTCACTATATAAATATGGAATCTATTTATACACGACACTAGCTTTTAAGATAACGACTGAAAGGCTTTTAGCTTTATTGCGAGCGTACTGAATAAGGAACTAAAAGTTTTACTGTCGATGCCCGGCAGAGAGATAACGTTAAGCAGACCGCAGGTTCCTTTGTATGCGCCGGCGTGTTTCGAGTGTTCGTTCGATCGTCGAGGCCGCGAAGAAACAAACACGGACTGCCACACGACTGAAGGGAGCGAGGAAACGACGAAGTTACGCGTACCGTTTCCATTGTGGCTTGACTTCGCGTTTCTTGAATAAACACGATAGCGTGTTTGTGTACGCGGGACGTTTGCTTTCTGTAGTTTGCGGGGCTGACGCGCACTAGTGACATATATTTGTATACAAACGCAGCTTTGCGAGAGGTTGTTATTTATAAAATTACAAACTTTCGATTCGTAAGTATGCGAGCGATAATTCTCTCCTATACTGGTCCTAAATCAGAACATTCTGCAGCTGTAAGGTGCGTGCAGTAATATCTTTCAAAGGTAATGAGCGCTAGCGCGCTTCGACGGCAGCCGTCTTGTATACAACGTGCTGAGTTATAGTCCATAACCGGCGTCTCCTCTATTGCTTCGAACCGGACTCTTTGATCCGATGCAGCCATGCCAATAAGCTGGCCGCGGACTCTGCCAAAATATGCGGCGAATCGATCGGGCGCAATGACGCAAACTATGAATGGAAAACAATAGCTCTCCATTGTATATTGGAGATATGATTTTCCCTGTTGTTTTGTTGTTTAATCGTTGAATATTTCTCGATCTCATCTTGAATGAAGTGTTCAAATGACGATTATTATCATTCTCATGCGATATATAGTAAGATAAAATCTGATGAAAAAAAGTTGTTTTTTTTTTTTCTCTTAATTATCTGTGCAACAATAGACACGATGATTTGATTCAATGAACGTAATAACTGTTGCATGACTGCGAAGAGTGGAATACATAATAAAATTAACCTAATCGTATTAAACTCAGCTCAGTGGCTAGAGCGTGAGGCCGCGAATGCCGAAGACGTGAGTTCGATTCCCACAACGGCGACAATCTTTTCGCACTTTTTCTACATATTTTAATGTTCAATCTTAAGTGCAGAGATTACCACTATGAACAATTTAATTTTCTAATCGTTTTAACTTCAAATGCACCAGAGCGTGCGAGTATAGAATAAATGTACCTACAGAATGTTATAATAAAAAAGTTTGACTGAATGTATGAAATTATACTTATAAGCTTTACAAAGTTGATACGAAAGAGTACTTTTAAAAGGTTTACATAATCAAGGAATTTTTATACGCTCATATCGATGAAATTTTTTTTTGGCGTATAATAAATCCTTTTGAAACATCTATAATTCATAAAAGCTCTAAGGGGTTCACTCATGTGTGTCAAAAATATATTACTTTTTTTTTTTCTACACTTCACTTTTACCGCACAATAAGACTACATTGAGAGGCATACAAAATGTACAATATTAAACTTTGTTACACTTTTATTAGTATTCGCATAGTACATTGGTTAAATGTAACATGACAAATTCCGTAAAATTGTTTAATTTGTCAATTTAGTTTAACGGTGACACAGAGTTCGATTATACGCGATGTCACTGTGTGAACACACCCTAAGGAATGTTTCCGAACGCAGCGCCGTCGGTCATTAGGGCCGCGCCCCCTCGTGCGTACAGGGCGTCCTTCGCCCAGTCAAGGCCGTCGGGCTCGGCGAGCGAGCGATGCATCGTTTTGAAAAAAAAAAAAAAAGAAACAAATCCGTCTAAAACCCGTTCCGCGCCGCCACGTACAACAACAAGCTCGCGGCGCGCGATGAATTTAAATAAAAAAAAGTAAAATGGCCGCTGCTCACGCGATCGTTTCAGTTGCATTTATTAGCTGCGCGCGAGCCGCAGATGGGAGTGTGCGATCGTAATGTAAACATAGCTCTTTAATTACGACGTCCGCGTTGATAGTTTACCAAAATAATTCAAGCGTGAACGTTGTTTAATAAGATACCAGGAGATTATAAAGGTACATAACCACACCTGATGATTCTCTAGTTTGTTATAAGAAATAGAGTATTGGGAAATTTTCCAACCTCTGATCAAGCAGCCAAGTGGGAATGAAGAATTATAAATCAGAGTACTGAGAATACCGCCCGTACATACAATAAATTAGCTTCCAACACAAACAATCCGGGGCGTCGATTTGTCGTCGTGATTCAACGATTTGTACGAAGTACGCGCGTGCTGTAATCTCCGTGTTATCGCAAGCGGACCATTCCGCTGGTGACGTGTGTGAAGATTTGCTCTCGAAATCCGTGCGAGTGCACTTAGCGCCCAGCCTTGATTCCGAATTTGAATATATTACGCGGGGCATTATTGAAAGCTTTCGACACACGGTCGATAACAATAACAATAAATCGTCGAGATATACGGTCGGAGCTTAGTGGCCGGTTAAGTTGACTGGCGTTCAGATGGCGCAGACTCGGATCT